TTGGCAGGGACCGTTCCTTCTCTAAGGCGTAAATGCAAGCACCTGAAGGGGCACGCCCTGTGGAGAGAACTCAGAGCGTCCTCCTAGATGCTCTGCTGCTCACTCACGCCACTTCTACTCCATGAATGTGCAGTTCCCATCCAGAAAGGCTATTTCTTATCTACTGTTATTGGGGGAATAACTGTGTTGAGAAACCATGGAACTTCTGCAGCGTGTTGCGTAAGAGTTAACCTTTCCCCCTCTTTCGTCTTTAGCTCTGACTTCTGTTTTCATATACTGTAGCTGCCTGGCAAAGAACACACTGAATGCTCCCAGATTTCTGAGAGGGGCTAAGTCATAACAATCTTGAAGAGTCGTAATTATCTTTGTTTTTTTAAGGCTATAGTTTTTCAAAACATTGTGTTCTTGGGCCGGAGAGATGAGTCAGTGTGGTTAGGAGCACTTGCTGCTCTTGGAGAGGACTCATGTTCAGCTCCCAACACCCACATGATAGCTTAAAACCGTCCATACCTCCAGCTTCGGGAGATCCAATGTCCTCTTCTGATGTCCTCCAGTACCAGGCACACATGTGGAGCACATCCATATGTGTAGGCAAATATTCCTACACATCACAATAAAATGAATCAAAGAAATTTTAAAAACAATATATTCTTATAAGTGCAAAAAGTGTTATCACAGAAAGTTTGGCATAAAAAATAAAATAACAATTACGGTTCCATCAAGAAATAAAAATCAGAAATATTTTATATCCTCATTTATCTGTATATCTATAATAATCATAATGTGATTTTATACAGTATATGCTTTTAAAGTTTGATGTGATACTCCCTGATTGAGGGTAACCAGGCAGCCTGACTTTTGTCTCTCAGTTAAAATGCATAAGTGCATTTGGAAATGATGCTTGGCATTTGGTTGTTGCTTCTTCTCATTTGTATCCTAACTAAATCATGGATGAATCTGGCATGTACCAGCTTCTGTTTTCTTTAGATTTTCTTTCAAACTTGTCATCACCCTTCCCCCCCTGCTTGGCCATCATTTCTAAAAACACACAGGTAACTGAACAGCCAACCATCGTTGGTACTAGTCAACCTTTATCAAAACCTTTCCCCGGGAACAGACCCTTTGCATCCTAACACAGTCTGACCCATAGGACCCAAGCAACAAGTACGTCTCAATGAATGATGCCTTCTGCTTGCAATGATCACAACAGCCTTCCCATCCATCGTTTGAACTGAACGGGTAACAGTGGCTCAAAAATATTAAATGGAAAGTTCAAGTGGCACATAGTTTTAAGAATGACATGCCATTATGAGTAACGCAATGGGATTTGTGCTACTTTGTTCTGCTTGGGGACACCGAATGAATCGTTCCATTGGTCAGCGGAGAGAGACAGACTAAGAAATACAGATTCTACCTCTGTCCTCCACGGGTACATATGGTGTGTCCACATGCACACACCACACACACACACACGCATGCACACACCACACACACACACGCATGCACATACACACACACAGCATTAGCTGAACAATAGTAACAGGGTGACAGTATTGGCTGTGATTGTGGCAATGTTAACATATTTATTTCATTAAGCTGGGCAGTAGTGGCACACGCCTTTAATCTCAGCACTCAGGAAGTAGAGTCAGGAGGATCTCTGTGAGTTCAAGGCCAGCCTGGTCTACAGAGGGAGTTCCAGGACAGCCAGGGCTGTTACACAGAGAAACCCTGTCTCAATCAATCAATCAATCAATAATTTTATTAAACCCTTCTGTCAGTTGGCTAGAACCTAGAGGTCTTATCAGATACAGCAACAAATAACAGACAAAGAACAAGAGGAATTTTGTCTTTAGAGAATGGGCATGAGAGAATGAAATTAAGAGCAACAGTCTACCTTAGTGATTGCCAACTCCAGAATCTGAATCTGGGAGCAAGTGGAGATGGGGTGAAAAAATACAGTGAAGTAGAAAAGCCAAACACATGAAGGAAATACTGCCTGCAGAGACAATGGAAAAGAACAGTGGTAGAGCTTGGGGACGTGATGTTCACAGCACGTCCTTCATGACGTTTCTGTTGGGAACATTTGCTTGGGTATAACATGACGAGAGTTCATTTTATGGAGTGGAAACATGGGGAGACGTGCTCTCAGCAGGCTAGAAGTATGAGGCGCCTGGTCTCATCTGCAGACAGAGGCTGTCACCCACATAGCACGGAGTGAGCATGCCAATGGTTTTTCTGGTTGCTGCTGAGAAGCCCTGGCAAGCTGTGCTCCTAGCCTCATATTCCTACATCCTCAGGCTTGTCTCTCTTGCCCACCATGGAGGGAGGGGGCAGAGAAAATCCCCTCTGCACAAAGGAATTATTAAAGCCACCTGAGACTCATAGGAATAACTATCAAAACTGGTTCATCGGTATTCATCCACAGGGTTTCATCTCTTGATAATCGTTGGAGGTCATGAGTCACAGGAGGAAACTTCAGGACAGGGACATGGTTATCTCGGAAAATGACAACCTGCACTGCTGGAGCTTTAAATATAGGTAGGCCATGTTAACAAAACAAGAGGAAGAAAGGGGAACTGCGCTAAAGCTCTAAAATGCGCTTATATCAAAGGAAGACAATGATGAACTGACGGAATTTTCTTGCAATTTGACAGACGTCGTATGCTTAGGTACCAGTGGGATGCACCACAGCCAACAGATGAACTGGGGTTAGCGAAGATCCTAGGCAGGGCTTCCTGAGGAAGCCAAGGGTACATTCTGGGTACGGATATGGTGGTTAAACACAGGCGCATTTTAGCAGTCACAGGTGAGAGCATCCAGGTAATGGCAGCCTATACGGACGAAGCATCTGGCTAGGATGTTATGGGCACACATAGCAGGTAGGGTTTATATTTCTCCCTTTTCTCCTTGTTTGCAAACTAGGGCTAAGTCGACCTCAGTGACAACTGTGAAGAGCAGCCATGGAAACAACCAGCCACAAGAAAAGCCAACTGCAAGCCATAGGTTTCTAGTTTGAGAATCCAAAAACCAAAAAGATCCAGCACTCCAAAAATTTTTGAGCTCTGATGTAATGTCACAAGTGCACAACTCCACGCCTGACCTCATATGGTAGGTCATAGCCAAAATGCAGGTGCAGTAAATATATAAATATATAAATATAAAATTATCTTCATGCTATGAGTTTATATAGAAGAAATATAAGTGGATTTTGTTACTTGGCCATCTTTGCCAAAATATCTTATTCTGTATATACAATTTTTTTTCAATCCAAACATCAGCTAGGTGGTGGTGATGTACACTTTAATCCCAGCACTAGGGAGGCAGAGGCAGGGGGAGTCTCTGTGAGTTCAAGGCCAGCCTGGTCTACACAGTGAGTTCCAGGACAGCCAGAACTATATAGTGAGACCCTGTTACTTTGCATTGAGTGCTGGGATTAAAAAGAGCTACTAGGAAAAATCCTATCTTAAAAAACCAAAACCAACCAACCAAGAAACAAACCCAAACTCAAAAATACATCAAGTCCAAGTTTTTTGTTTTGTTTTATTTTGTTTGTTTTTTTCGAAACAAGGTTTCTCTGCAGCTTTTGGAGCCTGTCCTGGAACTCACTTGGTAGATCAGGCTGGCCTCGAACTCACAGAGATCCCCCTGCCTCTGCCTCTCTATTGCTGGGATTAAAGGTGTGCGCCACCACCGCCAGGCTCAAGTTCAAGAATTTCAAGTCAGGAACACTCACTGTGTGGCAGTGTTTCAGCTGCCACTGCTTTCCACAGTCTACACGGATGTCAGAGGACAGCATGTGAGAATCTTATCTGTCTGTGCACCATGATCTCAGGGACTGAACCCAGGTTAGGCTTGACAACAAGCCCCCTTTCCCGCAGAGCCACATCTCTGGAACCGATAGTTACCCTTCCGATGTATGCTAAACTAAGAATGTCATCAAACGCTTTAATGGTAAGGGGCTTGACAGGTGTCATCTAAAATCAGTAGGGTGTGTACTACACCTCAGGGAAAGTGTGACCCGGGCGAGCAGGTTCTACGGTACAGTCAGCAGTGTTCTCAGTGTAGCATTGAGGAGAAAGAAAGACGCATAAAGACATGTGCAGACTTGGGCAGAAGCAACACTTACACATTGGAAATCTTAAAATACTTTTAGCAATGAAGTCTCAGCCGGGCAAAATTCAATATTGTCTTTTTAAGGAGTATTAGAAGCACAACGCTTTTACAAATGCCAAGAAGCGAGCGTTAGAGAGGAGATGCCATTACTTTGTGACAGAAAATTCTCTCCTCTGCTCCTGCCTTGGTGCTAGCATGCAAGCCATAAATCCCCACAACTTCTAAGGTTTTCATTTGTGACTTTCCAGGGCTACTTTCTAATGTTAAAAACTCTCAGTGAAAGGACTGTTCTACCCAGACACACAAAGGAGTTTAATTTTTAATTCGTGCTTTCCTTTTAACAAAAATCTTGCCCACACCCAGAATTTCTGTCACTTCTATCCAAGTGTGCAGACAGACTTCCATCTAGCCCTGTCCTGGCAAAATTATTGACTCCATCATACAAGTGGCAGCTTCTAGAATGGCTTCCTTGGGGTTTCAACCCCGTTTCAAATAAGCAATCCCAACAATCCCCTAATGCCTTCATCAAACATTGGTCTACTGAGAAATAAGGTTAGCTGTTCACTAGCAGGTCTGGCGAGTTCTGTGGCAGTCCATTGCTGTTAATCCTTTTATTTTAAAAAGGGTTCATTGTCCACCCCCCCTCCCGCCCCTTAACAACAACTGAAGCTTCCCATTGCAGGTAGCCCTCTCTTCCCCCTCCCTACTAAGGTTCTTCTAGAAATGCAAATGTTTCATAGAGCTCCAGAGTTACTTAAGTGCGGTGGAGACTAAGGAGGAGGAGCCGGCTGGGTCTCCCGCGGTTACCTCTGAGGAAAAACTGCCGCCTCCACCCTGCATCTGCACCCGCAACTCCTGCAAGTTCTCATTAGAAGGCTGGTACTCACTTTTATCCCAGGAGAAGTTAAGAAACACTTATACCCGCAGTGTGCCTCTGACAATCGTGAATTCCGGCGCAGCCTTCCTGGAAACACAGCGTTTCTCCTCAACAGCTTTGGTTTCCGGAAGTGGGAATGGGAAAGGAAAAGCCCTCGCCGGCTCTGAACGTGCTTGTGTAACTCTATCACTGGACACGCCCCTTCGGCGGCTGCGGCTGCGGCCGGCCGGGAAAGCTATGCTGGGAACTGTGGTACTCAGGCTGGCACCTTCTGCCAGAAAAACCCCAACTTCTTTCTTCAGTGCAAATAAACATACTAACACACGTGCCTCTGGGACACCTGGTTCTCTGCGCTCTAACTCTGAGACCGGTCACAGAAATGGGACTATGAGGGCCTGCCTTTTGATGATGTCAACACAGTATTCATGATACTCCATTGGCCGTCTCTTCTTTCACTCTATTCTGCCCTCGTCCAAATAAGGAGTTTTCCTGCAGTTTCACCAGAGAGGGAACTTGTCTGCCAACTGGTTTGTCCTTCAATGAAGCCAATGAGTCACGAATTTGCGACTCAGGTTTTGACAAAAGCATATCAAAAATGCACGAGAAGATGATAAAAAAAGTTTACCAAAAATATATTTTGTTGAAAAAGATTAAAAGGTCAGCAATATTTTAACTTTCCCAAGCCTTTCTGGGCCTGCTTTGGTGAAAGGGTTTAGCGTGAATAAAGAATGGATTCTATTAATAGCAACATGCTGTGATTGGGTAAAACGTTTGGCACACAAACCCCCAAAATGGGAATGTGAATGGATCCATACCTGGGCAACAAACGCTATGGCCAGTTGGATAGATTCCAACTCTTCTAGTAGAAGGAAAGTAGAATCAAACAGCCAAAAGTTAGGTTGCCTAAAAACTATCTTATGATGGACAATAATTCTTCACATATGGCTTCAGAAGTTGTTTAAGCAGCCAGGCAATGGTGATGCACACTTTTAACCCCAATACTCCTGAGGCAGAGTTCAGGGGATTTCCGTGAGTTCAAGGCCAGCCTGGTCTATTTGATGAGTTCCAGGAGAGCCAGGGCTGTGTAATGAGACACTGTCTTGAAAAAGAAAAAGCAGACAAACAGAAAAAGAAGTTGCTCAAGCCAAGTACATAGAATTGCTATAACAAAACTTTCTATCTATTTATTTAAACTGAGTTTCCTATTTTATGTATTCACTTTCATGAAATGTTGCCTTATTGTAACCATATGTAATGTGTTTCTGTTAACTAATTTTTAAATGCCATAAATCTCATTGAGAAATGTACTCTTAAATAGCACTCTATTATTTAATATTCATCAAATATGTAACTTTGTATTTGTCTTTTAAATCATCTACAAAACAAAAATACAGTTATTTTAAGTATTGCAAAATATATGTCTTAAAATGTTTATTCCATAGTGTTTGTAGCAAAAAAGAGAAATAATTTTAATATAGATATTTCCATTGTATATGAATGACGAAAACTTAAAGGTATATAGTTTTCTATTACAAGAAAAATCTATGAAGGAAATGAAATGGAAATAGAAACTTAGAGAGATAAAAGAATAAAATAAAAAATTTTCCAATCGTTGCTTTTCCAATGACTTCATGCCTTTGTAGAGAGATGTTAGGGGGATCCAAATCATTTGCTATATAATTTTGTTTGGTCTTTAAAAGAATCTGCATGGGGGGGGCTGGAGAGATGGCTCAGAGGTTAAGAGCACTGACTGCTCTTCCAGAGGTCCTGAGTTCAATTCCCAGCAACCACATGGTGGCTTACAGCCATTTATAATGAGACCTGGCGCCCCCTTCTGGCTTGCAGGCACACGTGGAAGGAATGCTATACACATAATATAATAAAAATAAATAAATAAATAAATATTTTTAAAAAAAAAAAAAAACGAATCTGCATGGGCCTGGTAGCTCACACCTTCAATTTCAGGACTGACTGGAGAGTATCTGTGAGTTCAAGGCCAGCATGATAGCTTGGTATACAGAGGGAATCCTAGGCCAATGAGGGCTGCACAGGGAGACTTTGTCTCAAGAAGAGGGGTAGAAATGAAAGAAGAATATGTAGAGCTTGGTTTAGGAAAACCACACAGAAATCTTTTGCAGTTATTTAAAGTTATAATAAAAGATGAGCATCAACTTCAGTATTTGTTACTTTTTCATAGACCCCCTGTTTGGAGACAGGCGAGTTTTTAAAAAATGTCAGGAATTATTTGAGCAGGAGTGAAATTTTAGTGCCTAAAAGAAGGCAATGGACACACGGAACTATGAGAAGACGCTGACAGGGAGAAGAAGCCAGCGGTTGAGTCATTCGTCTTTGTAGAGTCTGGACAAAGGCCACATCTATCTCTGATCAGGATTCCTGGCGAAATTCTCAGAGCCATAGAAAGATGAGATGTGATATCCTATTTTTAATCAGAGTGTGGGTTCCAGAAAGCTTTCCAGGATAACAGTTTCACGAAGAAATTTAAAAGCGAAAGCCTCATTTTCTGTAAATATCTGAGGTGGGCACTATAAAGCAAGTACATTATAATATATTTAGAAAAACTGGCTACCCCACCATGCTCATCTAGGTTTTATAATTTTGAGTATAAAATGCTGAAGCAAGCTGATGTTACTCGTTCATTTGTATTGCATGATAGAAGTGTCAGGTTTGTACCAAGTGCTGCCTCGGAGCTGGGGTGCTGACAGGGCACACAAGCAATTGCCCTCAAGGACCCACGGTGGCAGGTGAGTAGAGGATAGGCCTGAGAATTGGCTGGGTATGTGGGCAGGAGTAGGCATGCACAATTAGCGCTTTGTGCTTCGTCATAATTAGTATGCACGTTTGTCTCGAAAAACACTGGCAAATCTTGGAAAACCTTCAGGTTTATTATCATAAACAAATAAATTTTAGAAATAAAAGTTGGAGTAGGAAGGCTGGATTGTGGGATATGGTAGGAATCAAGAAACAAGAATTCTAAAGCTATTGTGATATTCTAGACATAACTGAGGGCTGGGCTCAATTTAACCTTGATAATGGAGGGAACAAACAGGCTTGAGAAGATAAGCAAATAGGAGTAGATGACTTAGAGATGATAAAAAAAAAAAAGAACCAGCATTAGAAATGAGCAAGGAGATTGACAGGAGAGATAGACACACGGTAAAATAGAGACGACACTAGGAAGTAGATGACTGTTCTTTCTCCTCCAACTCTTTGTTCTGAAGATTAAATCCAGTGCTTGACACAATCACCAGACTATAAATCAGGATTTATGGAGAAAAAGAGGGATTTGATCTACAAAGAAGTTGGGAAGAAAATGTCCAAAAATGGCAGTAAAGAAGAAACAAAATTATGTACCGCAAATCATACAAAACCAGTGACATTCTATGTAGCTCCTCTTCAAAAGGGATTTGGTTGAGGATTTCAACAAGGTGACATCAGACTCAGCCAGGGTCGTGCACTTGATACCAGTCCTGCCTGAAGGCTGGGTAGCCAGGAAAGGTGATGGCAGACATATTCCTGGAGAAGTAGTTGAGAGCTCTTACCTGGATCAGCAGGCAGCAGAAAGAGACATTAAGACTGACTTGGGCTTCTAAAGCCCCAAAGCCCACCCCTAGTGATACACTTCTTCCATCAAGGTCACACCTATCCAACAAGGCCACCCTCCTTATCCTTCTGAAATAGTGCCACTCCCTGATGACCAAGCATTCAAACATATGAGCCCATGTAGATCATTCTTATTCACACCACCACATTCCACTCCCTAGAGGCCTGTAGCCACATCGTAATGCAAAAATACATCCAGTCCAACTTCAAAAAAGTCCCTGTAGTCTATGATGGTCTCAACACTGTTTAAAAGCACTAACCCGTTGTATAATCAAAATTAAAAAAAAGCAGACCACATACTTCTAACATGCAATGGCATGGGGCACACATCACCGTTCCAAAACCAGGGGAGAGGAGCATAGTGAGGAAATACTGGACTAAAGCAAGACCAAAACCTGCAGGACAAACCCCGAACTCTGCATTGCTGTGTCTAAGGTTAAAGCTTTTCAACTTTGTTGACTGCCGCGTACTTCTCGCTCTCTCTCGGACTGGTTCCACACTGGGTCTGAAGCTCTCTTTGGCAGATACTTCATAACTGTGGCATCCCCAACATCTTGGGGTCTCCAGCACAATCCAGGCATCGTCTTCACACAATGGCCTCTCTGGGCTTCCACTCAGGGACTCCCCAACACACATCTAGCCTCAGCGGTTTTCCTTAGCCACAGAGGGAGATTCCACCACCCCTTTTCTCATATTCTCGACTCTAAGAACAGAACCACCTGGCTAATGCGCCAAAAAGCTAAGGATAACTAGGAATTATACGGAACCTATATCATGGGGGTTGGCAGTGATGATGGGCAGACCGTAACAATGAGACATTAACTGACTAGCCTTGACAAAATTTTATTTAATTTTAAAACAGGAATAGAAATTTTGCATTTCAAATTGTTGAAGGATTGATAGACATTTGCTGGTTTGTGGGCGTTTGATGTTATTTTCAAACTAAATACTAAGTCACATTACGACGGGGGGGACACCCCTTCCTTTCGTATTAAGAACATACAGGATACTGCTTGCTTTGGTTTTGGCTTAGTAAATGATTCCGGCCTGGCTCTTGGAGTAGCCACTTCCCTAAAGAGCTCAGCTCAGTTTCAGTGTTCTTCCTATGAACCCCACGTCACTCAATGCCTTTGGCTCAGTCAAGGGAGGCTAACTAAGTGTGCAAGTCGGCTGAGGCCTTCGGTAAGGTCTCAAGAAAGGAGTTTGGTCTCTGATGTCGAAGACCCTGGCAGCCACGAACATCTCTGAATATCAGAAGTCTCATTCCTTGAGGTGAGTTTGTGGGATGAAGAGAGGGCTCAGCCGTTAAAAGCTAGGCTCACAAGGGCCCCAAAGAAGGGTTTGCTCACGTGACAACCACAGTAAAGCGGAAACCACAGAACTGGCCATGGTGGTGCACACCTGTAATCCTAGCACTGAGGAGAGACGATGGCAGGAATCTGGGGCCAAGCTGGGCTGTACAGGGAGACCCTTCATTCCCTTTAAGGGTGCAGCAGAAGAAGAAAAAGTGAGGGGAGGAGAAGGAGGTGGAGGAAGAAGGAGGAGGAAGAAGAAATGAAACATGAGTTCTGGCAATCATGTTCTTAGCAGATTAAAAAATATATGTTTTTGAGAATTTCATGCAATATGCTGTGACCACGCTCTTTCTTCTCTTCCTTCTTGGTAGATGTGTAAGGGCAACACAGTGGGCTGTGCATGTCTCCAAGCTGACTAACACGACTTTGCTTAAGATTTAACTTTGCACCAGGCACTTAGGGTGCAGAGGCAGACAGATGTCCTTGAGTTCGAGGCCAGCCTGGTCTACAGAGCAAATTTCAGGACAGGCCCCAAAGCTACAAAGAAATCCTGTCTCAAAACAAAACAAAACAAAACAAAAAACAGAAAAAAAAACCTGAATAAAGATGAAGCAAAATCTGAAGCAACTTTCTGAAATAATCTCATTAAAAAAACTGCTTTTAATGGTCTTATATGAAGGAACAGCAATAAGGCACAATTAGAAGAGGCTGACTAATTCAGGGACTGAGTGATTTGAGGTCACTTATTTTGTGTGTGTCCTCTGGGGATCTTCAGGAGACTCAACAAACTGAAATCACAGACACAAGTGAGCACGTTCCTTTTGGGCCCTTGTCCGAGACAAGGTTTTAGACTCCTGGGCCTTCTGTCACTTGTCAAGAAGCCTGGGAGGGCCAAGATTACTGCAATGACCGAGTTGTAACTGTCTGGAAGGTGATAAGCCCAGGTCAGTAACCGCAGCCAACTACCTATCCCTCAGGCCCCGAGGCAACAGAAGCTCCCAGGTGCACACTCTTAGCTGATTCTTGTTGCTCACAAGTTCATTTCCAGTTCTGGGATCCAATATTTTTGACCAGTTGTCAAGGGAAGCAACTGTGACAGAGCTTAATTTTTTTTTTTTTTTTTTTTTTTTGGTTTTTCAAGACAGAGTTTCTCTGTGGCTTTGGAGCCTGTCCTGGAACTAGCTCTGTAGAAGACCAGGCTGGTCTCGAACTCACAGAGATCCGCCTGCCTCTGCCTCCTGAGTGCTGGGATTAAAGGTGTGCGCCACCACCACCCGGCCCCAGAGTTTAAATTCTCATTTTAAACTACTTGCTTATTTAAAGTCCTGTTCTGGATCAACCAATTCAGTCAATGCAGGGAAGCTAAGAGAACATTCGCTCTCTAGTATCCTGATTTTTGCCTACATTTTCCTTATTAGTGTTAACAGCCCCTATTCCTATATTAATGGAATTAAGCAAAGGTTTCCATACTTGTATATAATGCACTTTGACCAAATTCACTGATTTACCACTCCTCCTTACTCTACCTATTTTTTTCCCTACATTTTCTTTGACTTAACCTTAAAGATTAAGGAGTTTGGTATAATGAGTAGGCCCATAATGCCGGCACTCAGGAAAGCTGGGGCAGGAGGATCTTGAGATGGAAGCTAGCCTGAGCTACATGACAAAGCCTTGTCTAAAAAATAAAACCAGTATCAACCAAAAGATTAGAGAGCAGAAACCCCAATTTTTGCATTATTTTATGCATGAGTTTATTCGGCACAATCAAATTGGCAATGTCTTATCTTCCACCTGCTTTGATGCTGCCCAACTGAAAGAAGATACTGTGGTTGTCTCTAGAAATAATAAATGTTGATCATTAACAAACGAAATCACAGCCTTTACCGGAATATGCTTTACTTAAAAGCAGACTTCCTGGTCCACCCTTGGGTTCCCAACTGAAATTGGAAAAAAAAAAAAAGCCCTCCAGGTAAACTGCCAACAAAGCAGAAACCACAAAGTCCTCATCATTTTAATTGCCAAAGAAAAAGACCGACAAATAGATAGCTCCGCTGAAATTAAGGACAGAGTCCAGACAAATAATAGCTTCAGAAAAATAAATGACGAGAAGAATTGGTACGTGGGTTCCCAAGCCCGGAGGACGGTTGTACATCCTCTGCTACATCTCCAGTCGCTCTGGTTTGTTCTCCTTCCGTTCTTCATCTCCTTTCTCCCTATACAGAATCCCACTCCCATCCACCTCCAGACTCTCGCCTTCTGTTTTCCCAATCCAATCTCCTTGAACTTCCGAAATCAGTGTTCGAGTATTCACTGTGCTCTGAAGGACCCCCCCCCCACCACCACCAAGGTTGCTCCCCACCCCACCATTCAGGACTGTGTTGGGCGAAGAAGGGAGGGTCGGCTGGAAGTAACAGGTGAGGAAGCTTCTGGACTGCTGTGTGTACAGGGTGGCAACATCCGGAGGCAGGTTTTAATCCTGTTTTGCTGAGGCTGGACTCTTATTTACTCCCCTCGCCCCGCCCCGGGTTCAGCATCAGCAGAGAGTAGTCACGGTCCCCATCCCGGAGAGCGGGCGCACATCCTCAACTATTCCTCCACCACCCCCACGGCCGCCCTTCACCTGGACGGGCTCCAGTTCCCTTCTTGTCGAAGCCTAGCTCCCGGGTCACACGTAGTCTAGAGCAGCCTCTCGTTGGAGAAGGCACGGTCAGCCCGGGTGCCCGGCTCCCCAAACCGGGTCAGGAGACCTCGGAGGGCAGGGCTTCCTGTGAGAAAGGGCCGGGAGGACGGTGGTGACCTCCTGGCTGGCTCTGCGGGCTTCCTGCCGGCCGAGGACTTTGCGAAGTCACCCGCACGAGGCCGCTCTTGGCGCGCGCGTGGGAGGTTCCGTGGCGCCGGAGGATCGGCGACTGGCGGGTTCGGCGAGCTCGTACTGCCGTGGCAGGGACGGTCCCTCACGAGGCCACGTCCTGCCATTTTCATCAGAGGCTCAGCAAGGCTCACGAACCCTCAAGTCCCCAGGTACCTGTAGGTCAGCAGTCTGGGGTGAGGGTGAGGATTGTCACTTTCTTTTTCTTTCTTTCTTTTTTTTTTCTTTTCTCTTTTTTTTTCCCCCTCCAAGAGGGCAGTTTTGTCAAAAAGTTTTCAGGGGGGTCATCATCTGCCGCCCCTCCATGGCTTGATTTACAGGCAGATGTGCACTGCAGAACAAGGAAAAGTTTAAAAATATTATAGACAGCTCGATCCCAGGTGTATAAATTTAGTATGTGATCTTTACAAAATAAGGGAGGAACGAACAATACTGGGAGGGCGGGTGTGTGTGTGTCTTTGTTCTCTCCCGTTCTTTGTAAACTTTTCACCTAATCGGAAACCAGAAAAAGAATGTCGTTTGTGCATTCTGGCTCACGGGAACCAACGTCCTGGTTCCCCGCCGCCTAGCGCTGTCATTGAACTAGGGAAACTTTCCCACCTGCCCAAGGCTCCCCGGAGAGCCGGTCCGGGGTGCACAGGGTTGGTCCAGACCCACCTCCCAGCTGCAACCAGATTTACAGAAAAGTCCGCTGTCGTCTTGGTCAGGGATTTTCCCGGGCTTTCGGCTCAGAAAGAACTTCCGGGTGCTGGAGGGGGAGGGGTGATCCGCAGGGGGTCCGCAGCCACGGAAGGGGGGTGAAGGGGAGTCGGAAGAGGGTAGAAGCTGGCGGGTGAGCAGAGCCGGACAGAGACTCGCGGTCACTGGGAAGCGCTGTGCTCGCCTCCCGCTCTCCACTCTTGGTGCTTGCTTTTGCTTCTCCTCACTCCCCCTACAAGATTGGGAACAAAAAAGGCTGCTGACTCTGCAGAGTAGGTCTTCTTTGGCATAAAATTAGAGGACAGAAGTCTTCTAAACCACCCCGCGGGGCCATGGCAACTGAGGGAGTTGGGCAAGAGGATCGTTTTTTTGCCTTTTGTTTCTTCTAAGTTTCTCTTCCCTTTCTACCATCTCGGTTTTGGGTGTTTGTCAGGGAGAACAGCTTTTGCTAAAAGTAGAAATGTCCATCTTGAAATCATACTCTGTATTAGAGGCTAAGAACTGGAGCAGGGGAGGTGAAGGTGAACGTGCTCGAGGGGTAGTTTTCCTAGCTCACCATTCGGAGGAGAAACTTCTCTTTACAGCCAGCACTATTTTAAACAAAACAAAACAAATTCTCAAAATGTGAGAAACCTTAATCGCACGTGACCTCCCAGGGGAGCCGAGCAAACTTTCTGTTAAACTGTTTGTCCTCCTGGCTCATTTTAGAAAAACATCGCTCTCCATCTTCCTATTTGTGGCATTTGAAACCAATATCAGCCTCCAGCCAAAGCGGAGCCAGGTAGCCCTTCACCGGTTTCACAGGACACAGGGGTCAGAGAGGAGGTGCCGTGTGTTTAGTTGGGGTGTCGATGTTACTTTGCACCCAACACACCTACACGTATCATTCTTCTTTTCCCCCTCAGGAGAAGAGACAAGGCTCTGGAGTCCTGATCTAGCTAACTGCCGTCACTGGAAGGCTCTCAGGTGAGTGTGCCTTTTGGGATCCAGCATGCAAAAGGTTGGCCCTGAGTCTGGAGCCTTGGCTCATGACTGTTGGCAGAACTTGCTTTTTATTTCATGTATCTCTTTGTTATAGAATAGTTTCTTTGTTAACAGAGTTTGCTGTCGGCCAGACGTTAGTGTTTTACAAGTTAGTGAGGTCAGACAGCAGTAACGGACAGGGTAATGCACGCATTGCTGATGAGACTTTACTCTCTCGAATTCTACTTTATTCCACAGAGATGACTTGTGGTTTTGGTAAAGAAAAATATCGTTAACTATTTGAATAGGTCTGAGTGTACGTGGTATCAGATTCCAAAGATGCAGAATGTGAGGTAAGAAGGGTCTCTCTTGTTGGTGCTTGGTTTGCCTTTTCTAAGACAACACAGTTACCCTGTATAGCCTGATGGCCTTCTGTGTATTTGGTAATTGAAAACTAGCGTAGTTCAAAACTTTTTTTTTTGAGCTTACTGCTATCCCTCTTAAATTTGTTATTCTAATTACTCATTTCTGTCTTCCTACTGAAGACTGAAGTACTAGAGATTGGAGAGATCAAGCTGCTTTTGGAGAGAAACCTTGTGCCTCTGGAAATTAGCCGATTAGATTGTTCATTGGCCTTTGTGATTCCCCAAACAACCTGCTCAGCTGCCAGGGAATGGTAGGCCTGTGCTCATGGTCTCATATGCAGGAGTCAGGATGATTGGCATTCGTGGGAAGTTGATGCTTTGGACTGTGTTGTTCTATGAGGCAGCACCAGCAGCTTTCCCCCCTTCACAGTGGTGTCTAAGTTGGTACCTTGCTGGCAAGAGCATACATACTTCTGAGCCCCCCTTCTCTTAGCTTCTTTAGTTTCCCAAGTATAACTGTTAGCCCTGGAAGGGAAGCGGTCTGTGGAGGGCTAAGAGACAGTGCGTTAGAGTTTGCATCTGGGCTTTGACTCCTTGTTTTAGACCAGAACCCATTCTTTAAATTCTCGGTAACTCCATCTCCCTCACCTGTAAAAGGGCAATCTATAGGACTCTTTTGAAGATAAGCTAAGATGGTACAGTACAGGACTCAGCACCCCGCCTAGCATGTGAGAGGCACATCATAAGTAGAAGTTCTTTGTCAGTTTGTCGTCATTCAGCGCCCTGAGACAGGTGACTGCATTTGTCATCTTAGGCGACCCTACGAGGCAGCAGCAAATGCCTCGCGAATCCCAGGAAATGGATCTCTTGTCCATATGATAGTAATATACCTTATGTGTCCATCTTTGGCCCTTCTCTCTGGCACTCAGCCTGAACTACTCCTTTAGGGGGCTGCTGATGTTGTGGCAAGGCATGAAGGAAGGTAAAACTACATGGCGCTGGCTTTTAAAGCATCTTGGTGACGGCGCACACCTTTAATCCCAGTACTCTGGAGGCAGAGGCTGGGGGAACCGCCAGCCTGGTTTACAGAGTGAGTTCCAGTACAGCCAGGGCTACACAAAGTAACCCTGTCTTGAGAAAAAAAAAAAACTGCCAGGAAGTAAGCTTCGACACAGCTTCCACAAGTATTTCTATTTGTGTTGACGTCATTGTTAAGTGTTTCTATTTGTGTTGGTCATTGTTAATGGGCCAGCAGTCTCAAGTAGGGGAGCCTTCTCTAAAGGACCAACTGGGAACAATAGAGAACAAGGAACAGTAAGCATTCTACCTTGGCGTTGGCTGGAAGGAATCACAGTTGTGGACTCAGAGGTCCATCCTAAGAATGCATTCACACCAAGACTCCTGTGGGCCCCTGACTTAAGAGTATGCCAGTTTTCCCCTTACAGTGAGAGCTATGTCTGTCTGCCCTGGGTCCCGGGGCTGAGAGCCTATTTGCAGCAGAGGCTTTTGGCAAATGAATCCATTCAAAAGACAGACATGTTATTTAAAGCATACAGAACAATATCTAGCGGTCACTCAACACACTGTATTTGGGAAACTACTGTTTTTTAACATAGTTCTTTTATAATCATCAAAGCTCACAGATGAGCTAGAGCTGAAGCATTCTCTGGACAAAGTAAAGATAGTTTCTACTCTTCTTTTTGTTTTTCTTAACTCTTTGCTTCTTATCAGAAAACACTGTGTGTGTGTGTGTGTGTGTGTGTGGTGTGTGTGTGTGGTGTGTGCATGTGTGTGTGTGCATGTGTGTGTGTGGTGTGTGCATGTGTGTGTGTGTGCATGTGTGTGTGTGTGCATGTGTGTGTGTGTGGTGTGCATGTGTATGTGTGTGTGGTGTGCATGTGTGTGTGTGTGGTGTGCATGTGTGTGTGTGTGATATGTGTTGTACGCACAGGTACCTGCATGCATGTGGAGACCAGAGGCTCAGGTCAGGTGTTACTCCTCAGGCGGCTCCTGCCTTCTCTGAGACAAGGCCTCTCATTGGCCCACACTTTTTGCAAAGTAGGCTAGGCTTAGCTGGCCAGTGAGCTCCAGGGGCCTGCATGCTGCTGCCCCCTCTCTTACAGCACTGGGACACACTCCGGGTTTTTATGAGTCCTGGAGACTTAGGCTCACTCCTCACATTGGCAAGGCAAGTGCTTCACCAGCCGAGCTGTCTTCCAAGTCCTTCATTTTAGTTTGACGTTTTAACTTGCAAGTGCAATGCAGTTTTATTGCAGAAAAATTTTAAGTGAACAAGGAATATAGGTGGAAATTCGATATCACATAAGATTCATAACAGTGAATTTTTTATCAATTGCTAACTACATCATTGCATAACTTAGTGCCATTATTCTCATGCATGTTGTCTGCTTCCCGAATAATGGGACTTTTATTATCATAATGGAGAATATTCAAAAGATATCGTGAAGCGGTTTAATCAGTTCTTCCCGTTGCATGCTAGCTAATTCTTGCCTGCTTTAGTTTTAATTATTTTTATATCCTTGGCCCAAGATTTTGAGGATTCCTCTCACTGCTTTTGTTTTTTAATTTACACAAGGATCTCTTTCTTTGTTACAAAGTTCTGTATCCTGCAACAATGTCTAAGAGATATGAATATAAAATGAAAGATTAATTTATAAGTTTACCAAAGACATTTTGCTTGGCTGTCATTTATGGAATAAATGAACGAAGCTTGATTTTAGCAGCCTGACTTTGTAAAACAGAGAAGAATGATGTCTTCCAAGTAGACAGCACTGGGTATGATGGGAATGTCGGGAGGGGCTACATACTGAGACCCGGACTTAGGTGTGTTCTCTTGTTGTGAAGCCCACCATGGCCAAGGCTTTCTGTTAGAAGAGTTTATTTGGGGATTACAGTTTCAGAGGGTTAGAGTCCGTGAGGATGATGGCAGCTGCCAGGCAGGCTTGCCACTACAACAGTAGGCTGAGAACTCACAGTGAAACACAAACGCCATGCAGAGAGAAGTAACTCAGAATAATGTGAACCTTTGAAACCCCAAAGGCCACCATCTCTATGCCGCCTCTAACAAGGCTACACCTCCTAATCAGTCTTAAACAACTCCACCTACTTGGGACCAAATACTGTCATATATGAGTCTATGGGTCTATGGGTCTATTCTCATTGAAACCACCACAGACCCTCTTAAGAAAAGCAACACAGCAAAAGGCAAAGATCAAAGGGTAGTGAAAGTAGTTTTCAAAACAGCATTGTTTTGAGACCAAGATAGTAGTTTAATACTAACTGATCAGCCGGGCGGTGGTGGCACATGCCTTTAATCCCAGCACTCCAAAGGCAGAGGCAGGCAGATCTCTGTGTGTTCAAGGCCTGCCTTGTCTACAGAGTGAGTTCCAGGACAGGTTCCAAAGCTACAGAGAAACCCTGTCTCAAAAAACCAGCAACAACAAAACAAAGCAAAAAAAAAAAATACTGATTTTTGCTTTGTTATAAACAAGACCAGAACAACTATAAATTTCACTTACTTATAAAGTCTCATTGATGGAGACTGGAGAGATGGCTCAGAGGTTAAGAACACTGGTTGATCTTCCAGAGGACCCCAGTTTAATTCCCAGCATCCTCATGGCAGCTTACTCCATGTAAGCTGTAACTCCAGTTCCAAGGAATCTGACCCTCACACAAATGTATGCAGGCAAAACACCAATGCACATAAAATAAAAATAGATAAAATGTAAAAACATCATTGAAGATTATTGCTACCTAGGCAATAAAAACCAACCACATGGACAAGTGAGAGTCATTCAGAGGGAGGCCACAGTGAACACTTGCAACTATTGACAGTGGTGTCGTCAGCACACTTGGTGGAAGTTGTGTGGCTATGGCAAAAAGTCATCCAAAGGCATGGAGCGATCAAGGTCCAGAACTAAATATAATGTATTTCTATTGTTATGAGAGAATTTATTCTCTGTGGAGAAACATGTGCTTGCATGCATTTGTGTGTGTATGTGTGTGTGTGTATGTGCACATGGGTATGTACACACGTGTGTGCATGCTCACATTATTATGCTTATGTTATAGAGGATACTATGCAGAGTTAAAGGCTGCTTTGTAGTGGCTTTCTCTAAGACAAAAAAAAAATAAAATAAAAGATTAGGATTGAATGAGAGCCTTGTTTCTAAGTGCTTTTTATTTCTTGAACTTTTAAGTCATATGTGTATATAGTTTTAAAGTGTTATATTATTTTAAATGATAGTTCTGTATTAAAAAAGCTTTAGGAAATTTTAAGAAATGAATGTTCCTGTCCTCTTGTAATCCTGTAAACAATACCCCATCCCACTAGCACTGTAGTAGATCCACGCAGTGTGAGGTCTAGTTGGGGCACCTCAGGCCTTGGTTCCAGGGATGTCAACAGGAGCTAGGTGGAATCGCTGTGATTAATGAAGACTTTTCAAGATGTTTACAAAACACCATGGACATAAGTGACCCCAGTAGCAGTGAAGGCCGTGGTACTGAGCTTGCGAGTTGCTAAAAATGTGATGTCTAAATTATAGAATACAGCAATCATTCAAAGTGTTTACTTTTTAATCATTAATCTACTAGAAATTCAACATTTCGTTATTTAAGGTGGTAATGTTGCAAGATTTATTTATATAATTATAATTTAAAATGTTTATTTTTTGTGTATGTGGGTGTTTTTGCTTATATGTGTATATGTGCACCATGTGCATGCAGCGCCCAAGGAGGCCAGAAGAGGGCGTTGTATTCCCTGGAATTGGAGTAACAGAAGGTTGTGAGCCACATATAGATGCTGGGCATCTAACCAGGCTCCTCTGGAAGAACAACCAGTGCCCTTGGCAGCTACCCCATCTCTACAGCTCCTTGTTTATAACCTTTAAGTTTTTTTTATTTAAAACAGGTTTCACAATTTTTATTAATCATGTTATACTAGAATTAATAGAGTATAGGTTTTCACTGTGTATCGATCCTCAGAGCCGGGCGGTGGTGGCGCACACCTTTAATCCCAGCACTTGGGAGGCAGAGGCAGGTGGATCTCTGGGAGTTTGAGGCCAGCCTGGTCTACAAGAGCTAGTTCCGGGACAGGCACCAAAGCTACAGAGAAACCCTGTCTCGAAAAACAAACAAACAAACAAAAAAACTCAAACCAAATGTTTTTGGTACAGTGTCACTAGGTAGCCCACGCTGAGCTTGAACTCATGATCCTTCTGCCTCCACATCTCAAGAATTAAAAGGGTGTGCCACCAAGACACACCTGATTTTATTTTTAAACTACATCCGTCATGTTTCTAGGCGTGTGTCACTACTTAAATGAGAAAAGAGTTGAGACTTCCCTCGGCTTCCCCTGAATCACTGCGCTGCTAATAATCATCACCTGCATGATGAAAATGGTCAGAGGAGAAATGAAACAAAGAGAGAGAAGAGGGATTAGTCTAGTATTCTGTACATCGTTTTCTTAGCTTAGAATCCCCGGCCACATTTTGAGCATCCTCTTAGGGCAGTCTGGGCTGAACTAACCTGGTGTTTCTACTGTTGCAGGCCAGAGAGCGTCATGTTGTCCTTTGAAGATGCTGACACAGAAGAGACCGTAACTTGTCTCCAGATGACTGTTTATCATCCCAGCCAGCAGCAAAGTGGAATATTTAAATCAATCAGGTTTTGCAACAAAGAGAAATTTCCTTCTGTTGAAGTGGTGAGATTTGGAAGGAATTCCAATGTCTGTCGCTACACTTTTCAGGACAAACAGGTTTCCCGAGTGCAGTTTGCTTTGCAGCCATTTAAACAGTTCAACAGCTCTGTTCTCTCATTTGAAATCAAAAACATGAGTAAGAAGACCAGTTTGATGGTGGACAACCAGGAGCTTGGCTACCTCAATAAGATGGACTTGCCCTACAAGTGCATGCTTAGGTTTGGAGAGTATCAGCTCCTGTTGGAGAAGGAAGACGGGGAGTCAGTGGAATCTTTTGAGACACAGTTTATCTTGTCTCCGAGACCACTCTTACAAGAAAACAACTGTCCAATGCAGAGCCCGATACCCGAGGATGGGGGCTATTCATCCTATTTCACCCATAGGACTTCTCCTACAGAGATGGATGAGAATGAAGTGTGAACAGAGTCCAAGCGGAGACTCATGAAGGATGAGGACCCATGGGTAGACCCTTGAAAGACACTCTACCTCTTAAGAGTTTAGAGCCTAGTGTTGCACAGATATCTGCATGCTGACTTTGGGTTTACTAATAGCATTTGGAAGTCTGTGGACTGTGTTTGTCATCAACTTCATCAGCTCTTTGCATTCTGGACCTACAGAGAATTAAGTATACTCCTGTAAGGGTTAGTGTATAAAACCTGTCTTCTGTGTAATGTTATTCTTGCTCCTTTTCCTGCTTGATGGCTCGCCCATGCTTTGTTTTGGTAACAGCCATCTCTTGGCTTGGTCACATCATTTCATAGCAGCCTTTAGCTTCCAGGTTCAGAGCGCAGGCGGATTGTTCGCTGGTGCCTGTGGCATGTTCCTACTTGCAGAGCTGGAATCCTGGAATGAGTTCTCGAGTCCCTTCTGAGTCACTGTGGGTTCATTATGGAAAGTTTTGAGAAAAGCACCTTGATTTTCTTTCTGTGGAATTATAAAGTCTACTCCTAAGATGTCAGTGTTGCTTTTCTGTATGGAGGACCTACAATTAACATTTAAAGAACATTGAGATTACAATTATTTGCCACAGAAGGTGGCAGCCACCACCGTCTCGGGAGTAAAAGTCCCTCAAAATTTACGACTGTTGGAAGAGCCGGAAGAAGGCCAGGAGGGAGTAGGCACAGCACAGTTAGCTGAGGTCTAGAGGACGATGAAGACCTGACATTTACAAGATGGACAGGGATGATACCTGGGCCTCCAAGAACAATTTATGAAAACTGAATATACAGCCTTAAAATAGGATGTGGGCCTAAATACCCAGAAGCACTTCCATCTGTATGATTTGTAACGAAAGTCATTGAGTGGCGTGAGTAGTTCAAATGGCGTGGTGGATCCACGGGTCACATCGGTGCTGGCAAAGTGGCAGGATTCCCACAGCCTCGAAGTTACCCTACAGGAGCTTCGGCTCTTGTCAGTGTCAAAAGAGAACATGAAGTTGACACAGCCACCAGAAGGACAGTGTTACAGCAATTAGCCACTAAGGCCCCAGCCATTTCTTCCCAATCCAACCTAAGTCTTTATTTTCCACAGTGATAAATTTTCTAGATTCATTCTGTAGACCTCACAGTCCTGGAGAGGAAATTCCACTGAGACTTCATCCATTCTTAGACACTGTTTTGGTACTGACTTGTTGTCTGTTTGAAATGCCTGAGTTGTGCTTTGTAATATCTTCTGTGGAGTGTAACCACTGGCTGCCTAGTTGAACTTCTGGGATCAAGAAGGTGTGTTGAAATCAGTTTCCTTTGGCAGCAGTGGGCACAGCTAACACAACTGTGAATAGACACGTCATACAATCGCCTACTGCTGACATGTGACCTGGGTTTGACTTTGCCCACCCCACCCTCCTGCCACAGCTGTGTGTTGACCCTTAGAATAGATGGCAAGGCTTCAGGTAGCAGCCATGGGACTACTGCTGTGTTAAAGATAAAACCTTGATTTTTATTTAGACAGAAAAAGGGAGATGATGTGGGATTCTCCTCTGTATGTTATGTGTATGTTTTATTACCATTAGTTAATAAAGAAGCTACTTTGGCCTATGGCAGGGTGGGAAAACTAAACTGAATGCAGGGAGAAAGAAGGCAGAGTCAGAGATGTCAAGTAGCTGCTGAAGGAGAAAGATGCCAGAACCTTACCAGTAAACCACAAGCCTCATGGTAAAATATAAAATAATAGAAATAGATTAATTTAAGATGTAAGAGCTAGCTAGAAATATGCCTGAGCCATTGGCCAAACAGTGTTGGAATATAGTTTCTGTGTGATTATTCAGGTCTGGGTGGTGGGGAAATGAACGTGCGGTCTCCATTTACACTACGGGGCTTGGGGGTGCTTTGATTGCACCCCTGCTTTCTTAAGTCTTAAGGGATGCCACATCCAAGCCTTTGTCTCCCCTATTCCTCCACTGCCATTCTTGGCCAAAGCTTAGATTGTAACTCTCTCCTCCCTCTGAAATTGGCCATGAGTGAGGAATTCAGGGCTTCCATCTCCCCACCTTTACCAAGGGATGCTACTTTCCCCCTCCTCCTCAACTCACTTGTTCCCCATCACCACCCAACACTTGCTGTGGCCAGATGCCATCAGATGAGGTTGGAAGAGCCTGGCCTCCCTCACGTAGCTCTGGACCACATGTTCACTTGCCACCACCCTGGGAAGGGAGTGCTGGGTTCTCGGTCCTGCTGCCACCATCAGCCGATGAACTTTGAGCTCAGGGCTCAAGGTGAACAGAGCAGTCATGGGGCGACAAACCTGCCAGCACTGCTCAGGGGCCTTGGGGGTTCCACTTAGAGAAAGGCCATTGTGGAGAGTCCTAAGCACATAGAGTTCTGAGTCGGTTCCTTTTCTCATAATCACTTTGCTTTTATACACTGAAGAGGTTTGGACAGGGCTCCCTGGTCACCCATCAGGTCTGAGGTAGAGCTGAACAGCTGGAACACAGGCCTTGATCTTGTAGATTCAGATCCTCTGCAGGGACCTGGAGGAACTCTCTGTCACGAGTTTTCAATGAGCCTGGTCTCCTAGCTCGTTGCCATGGTCCCCACTCTGTTCAAGACCACTAAATGTTGAAATGTGATGTATACCAAAATAAAGGCGATTCGTTGTGTTGCAAAAAAAAATGTTTTCTGCTAAAATTGAAAATGGCAGGGTGGTGATGGTGCATGCCTTTGATTCTACTTGGGAGGCAGAGGAAGACAGAACCCCATGAGTTCGAGGCCATCCTGGTCTACAAAATGAGTTCCAGGACAGTCAGAGACACACAGAGAAATACTGTCTCCAAAACAAAGCAACAAAAAAATAAATAAAAACAACCCCCCCAAAAAACAAAATTGAAAATGAATTTTATGTATCTTACATATTTTTTCAATTGTACAGATCAAAACTTTTAACAGCCTCTTTGCATATAATAAAGTCAGAGTTCAGTCCCCTAGCTGCTTCTCTGAAACTTCCTAAAGGAAAACATTCATACTTAGACTGCTGTGTAGAAGTTAAGTATATGTGAATATTTACAATAAATGCTTACATATGTCTGAACTTTTACAACTTTTAGAAGTTGTGTTTCTTTAAGAGATTCTCACTCAACTCATTTTGATCTGATTAAGATAAATGTTAGTGAATGGTATGTTAAAGAGAATGACAGCCACCAAGTTAAGATAAATTCTAACGTTACCAGGAAGTAAGGTTTCCTGTGTAATTACTTTGGTATATGAAATTTTGTGCTATAACAGATGAGGTGGGGGGAACTCATCATATAATTTTTGGGTGGGTATTTCGAGACAGGGTTTCTCTGTAGCTTTGGAACCTCTCCTGGAACTAGCTCTTGTAGACCAGGAAGGCCTTGAACTCACAGAGATCCACCTGCCTCTGCCTCCCAAGGGCTGGGATTAAAGGCGTGCGCCACCACCGCCAGGCCCCTATACCTATTTTTGTTTCTTTGTTTTTGAGACAATCTCCTACTTTGAAGCTCAGACTGACCTTGAACTCATAATCTTCCTGCATCCGCCACCTGGATGTGATGCTTACAGGTGTGCAACGCTGTGCTTAGCTTAATGTAATTATATTTCTACAACCACCCTTCAAAACGATTTCTAATAAATTTTCCAGCTGATGCCATGTGCATGTCATGCGCATTATGCCTCTTGATGTAGATCGCCAGCCACTCCTAGATTATGGAACGGGACCTTAGCTGCTATCCCAGTCCAGGGCCTGTTGCTATGGGCACTGCTTTCTGTCTCTGTGCTATGTGTCAGGCTGACTATTTCATTTCTTGTCTAGCTTTGCTGCTGGCCACTGTGGTAAGCAAAGCATGGCAGACAGGTGACTGTGTGCTAACTGCCAGAACCTGTGAGTGTGTCATGACACAGCAAAGACGAATGAATGATGTGGGTAGAATTAAGGTTGCTCACTGGCTGACCTTGAATTACAAGAGATCATCCTGGATTATTCCAGAACCATTTAATAACAGGGCCCTTCAAAGCAGGAGGGTAAGAAAAAAGATATCAGAATGATCAAGTGTGACAAGGACTTGACCTGCTGTGAAGGGTTTTGCACTTGGAGGAAGGAGGCCATGAACTAAGGAACGCAGCAACACCTTGAAGCCAGAGAATGTGTATAGAGATCTACATGCTGGAAAAGGCAGAGAAACCTCAGCAAGATGTTGGCATACAAAAACATTCCACAATAATTCAGAATGGAGTATGACAGAGGTTTATTTATTTGTGGATAAACTCACCGAGACAGTAGTGATCCACAGTCCTCTGTGTGTGCTGGAAACTGGAACCGAACCAATAGATGGTGTCAATGTGGGAGGACTATGTCCACATAAAACCTGAGAGAACTTGGGAAGGAATTCTAGACACAAAAGAACAGACTTAAGCGCGGCTTCTTGGTAGCATTTTCTCAGGTGGGCTCTGAGAAAATCAGGCAAAGGTGTGATTCCTTAAAGAGAAGACTTCCTGACTCAGCATTAGTAACAAAAACTGAGTGGTTTAAGAGCCGTCTTCCTGGTTCATGCTGGTAGCATGAGATTCTGGCTCTTTCCGGAGGTCCTGCACTTAAAAGGTGTCTGTGAGCAGTGTGTTACAAATTGCTTAATGGTGACATAGACCCACTGCATCCCTGAAGCTGAGGTGATGTGCATTGCTCATAGAGGTGGTGAACATGCCTCTGCCATGTTGGACTGCCTGAAACAAACAGGCAGGGCTGCAGAGTTGGTCCTAGTCATATCTGCTTAGCATTAAAAAAAAAAAAGGTGCTCCTGGTCAGAAAATGATTACAGATATGCAATAAAGGCATATCCAGATGGAAAAGACCTCTAAATGTGTCACAGTGTACATGGGCATAGTGTATGGGCTTATGAGATAGAAGAATACAGGATGTCATAGATTAAAGGAGTAAGGATAATTAAATATTAAAAAGTAATAGAGTAAAAAAAAAGCCATGTAAAGATGGAAAATACAGAGAGTCCAGATTATGTATACTATTGTGTTTTCTTTGAATTTTTTTGACTGTGAATGAGCTAAATGCAGAGAGACATTTCATTGCACAGGGTGCTGAACTAAACCAACATATATTTTAAAGGTATATTGACTTCAAAATTTGAGTCTAAGGATATGTTACTTTGGAAAAGAGATTCTGCTCCCACAGAGGACAAGAACCCATAAATTTCTTCTAGGCTAATGTGATTTGATGAAACAGAACTCCCAAAAGGTCTCAGTGAACCCTAAAAATACTTCACCCAATAAACAGCAGAAAGCAGTTTGGAGAAAACTACACCAAAATTTCCAAAATGATTGTTTATAAATATTTGTTTTCATTTGGGGGGGTGAGTGTAAGTGACTGGTGGTCACAGTCAGTTTCTAAAATAAAATAAATAAGGGGATATGATAAAGAGATGAATACTTTGCATTGGTATGGATCTTGGTCTAGTGACATGATTTTGGGGTTTTTTGTTTTTGTATTTTATTGATACAAATTTAAGGTCAATTTTGTTATACTGTGTATATATATTTCTACTCTTATTTAAAGTATTAAGTTTCACAACTCATTTTAAAAATGTAATATACACTTAAAAATTACAGATGAATAGTCACATAAATAAGTCAAACTTATAATCATGTTAGTTAGGTTTTCTAGATACACAGAGATATATTTCAGTTAGATAAATAATCTTCAAACCTTTCAAAGACCTACAGAACATGGTATTTAAAATATTTTAAAAACTTAAACTTTTCTCAGCAGTGAGATATGTCTGCTTCTGGCAGCACCAATTACTTCAGAGAGGTTGATGGGCATTAAATAAACTCATTATGAAATTTGTCTTCAATGTGACAAGGTTAGCCATTTGGGTAAGAAATTGTTCTTGATTGGACTGCTTGATGATATGCTGTATGAACTGGACATGCAGGATCCACAGAAAAATGACTGCTGAACTTGCCTCAAGATGATAAGACAGCTCTTCAGGGTTCCTGCTTTATGATATTTTGCAGGACACAGAAAAAAGTGACTGACAAACTGCCAACACAGGCAAAACAGTCTTTCAAATTTCTTGTTTCATGGAAAAGTCCACCAGATACTATGGACCTGTAGGCTGAAGATGGATGCCCCAATGTCACAGAAGAACTTTGGGTGACTGTCCAGGCAGCGAACTGTCTCTGTCAGTTCTAGAGTTTTGGAAGTTGCTTACAATTCACTTCCAGTTTACTTAGGTAATATTATATTCTTCTGGGGTCTTTGGTGGAGTTGAAGACAGTTATGTTGACTGAGATGTCCAAGCCTCCACCAGTCAACTCTCAAAGGTGACACAATCACAGTCTAAAACAGCCACCCCAGTGCGTGACCATGTGGAAGGAAGAAGCATTTTCAAACAACAGCTACAACAAAAACACCACTGTGGATTGGAAATGAGGACAAAAGAAAAGCGGTGTTTGATGCAACAAGCAGTGTAGCTAAGTAAAAACTTTCCACACAGGTCTTCAGGGCTCTGCCTCTGGGAGTTGGCATTCGGCTTGTAACAGGTCATGCCAATTGGTGCCAGTGTCACAGCAT